GTCAATCATCCAGATGATATGGATGGTATCGCGAGTTTTGTCGCGATGTGCGATTGAGCGGCTGGAATTAGTCCGAAAAATCCCTCAGAGCACTCCCCGTGGTACATGCGATAAAATCGGCGAAAAGATGCAACATCTCTACGCAGTGCCAGTGAGTCAAGCCGATCGGAAAGAACTCGGTCGTCGACGATTCGAACCGCTCTGCGTTGGATGAGGTCAAATGGAAGGAGCTGGCACTGGGGAGCCCCTGCCCAGAAATGGGAACAGTATTCCATATGAGGTCAAACCTGCGCTTTGTAAAGTTGCAAGCGGTGTGCCCGCATGAAATACTGTCCCGCTCTGCTGAGCACGCCAAGCTTTTTAGAGGCCAATTTGGCCTTCTCTTCCAAGTGACCACGACACTGCACGTCACTCGCTATGTCGACACCGAGGATACCGATGCTGGCTGAGGCAACAAGGGGAGTGCCTTGAAACTGAGGAGATACGACAAAGGGATTCTTTTTAGCGTGCGCTTAAACGCGCAAACTTGTCTTCTGGGGATTAAACTGGACTAGATTTAGTCGCCCCTGGTCTGAGACTTTGTTCAACAAAGTCTCGACTTCAGACACAAGTTTGTTCCGGTACTCGGCGACGAAATATTGGCACGCCCGGTGTATAAAGCATCACCAGTGCTGTCGTCTGCATAGCAATGAATGTTACTGGTCTGCAACATATCATTGATATGCAGAAGAAACACGTTGGTGATAGCACGCAGCCTTGTGGAACACCAGCGTTAACGGGCTAGTAATCGGAGCATGCACCGTCTACTACGACCTTGATGCTCCGAATTGCAAGAAAACTGGTGATCCAATTGCACAATTTCTCGGGAAGCCCATAGGAAGGAAGCTTCGAAAGAAGCGCTTTGTGCCAAACCCGATCGAAAGCCTTCGCTATGTCCAAACTAACGGCCAACGCCTCCCCCTTGGACTCCACTGCCTCCGTCCATCTATGAGTTAGGTAACCTAGATCACCAGCTAATTAATAGTGGTTTCCATTACTTTGGAGAACAAGGAGGTGATAGCGATAGGCCTGTAGTTGGACGGATCTGAGCGGTCGCCTTTTTTAGGGATCAGGTGCACCAAAGCTGTCTTTCATGAGTTCGGAACTACGCCTACGCGTTAAAACCGGTGCCAACTCCGGAGCACACGTCTTCAGCACAATAGGCGGGACTCCATCAGGCCCACTCGACTTGTTAACGTCCAGGGAGAGGAGTGCTTTACGCACCAAGCGCTGTGTAAAATGTAAATAGTACTTCCCGCATGGAGCACTCACACCGCGGGATGGTCGGCGGTGTGTTCCCCCCGTCATCTAGAGTCTAGTTGGAAGCAAAAAGAGAGCCTAGCAGATCGGCTTTCTCCTTTGTGTCATGGGCCAGTGAGTCGTCCACCCTGTGCAGAGATGGCTGACAGAAGTTTCCTTGGACAGCCTCTGCGAGAGACCAGGATGCACGTGTTCCCGAAGGGAGGCTAACTAGTTTCTCGCCAATTCTGCCGATGTGGTCTGACTTTGCCTTGGCAATGACACTTTTGAAGGACTAGGAGGCGGAATTATTCCTTGTTTTTAAGAGCGCTGGTGTTTACATCCCGGGACGTTGATGCGTCAGCCCAGACCTGATAGCACTCCTGCTTATAGCGTGATGCTATTTTACAGGAGCGATCAAACCATGGCTGGGATCTGCCTCTGATGGGCACCACAGAGGACGCTTGCCTTGCCCCCCCCCCCCCCAGAATACGCGGGGCACCCTCCTGGGGTAGTCTTCTGTTCAATTCCGCTACCATGTTGATGGGGGGGGGGGGGGGGGGGATTGGGCCTCCGGCACTGCACTCACCAAGCGGAACACAGAGGTAAACCTCTACTTCACGCTGGTATTCTGTGAGGTCGTGGTACAACCCCGGTTCGAGCCGGCCCATCCGTGCGACAGCAAAAGCTGCCGCGTGGCTCTACCACTGTTACGTTCCGAATTCTGAATCGGAATATCGAAACGGAATTCCGTATGTATGTGGCGGGCATTAAACGTGAATACTTGCATATCATGCGCACACAACACTCATACCACATGAGTAAAGAAACCGACCAGAGGGGAAGCTACATACAAACGGCTCGCTGCTAGTACACCCATACATAGCGCAGCGATGTGTGCGTGAGCTCTCACCGACAGGTTCACCGACGCTCCGTCGGGGTACAAACCGGTTTGCGCCGGCTGTCAGTGTCCATGAAAGGGCTGTTAGTCGTGCGCATTTAAATAAATAGACCAAAAATATTTCGATATTTTATACATCAATTAATTTATTAAGTATTTTTTCAATTATTAAATAATTAGATTAAAGTTTTTTAATAAGAATAATTAAGAATTAAGTTATTATAAATTTATATAGGTAAATAATATGTTTTCTGTATAAGCAAAAATGCCTAATAGTTGTACAGTATGCATGAATAATTCTAGAGAAAATAAGGATATTTCCTTTTTTTTTGTACCCGAGAGATTAAGTGAAGTAAGGACCTTTTTACGTATACAATAATACTAGATAATAACATTGATAGGTAAGTGAGAAAGTGTTAGAAAGGTGCGTCGCCGAGTGATGATGTCGTTCTCACCTACTTGAAACGTTAGTCAGTCTAACTTTGACAGTGCCGTAGATGGCAGAATATCCTACGTAATAAGGCTAAATGTGTGACTTTATCCACCCACATTAGTATAGAGGTAGGTTGCTTCCTGGGGTAGGATATAAGTTACTTTTTGCGACTCGCTACCGCAGGGGTAAATACCACTGCATTATGGTTGGAATACAATCGCCAGGGATTGGTACTGGTGGAAGTGGTGCTGGTGTTGGTGGAAGTGGTGCTGGTGTTGGTCGAAGTGGTGCTGGTGTTGATGATGGTGTCAGTGGTGGTGGAGGTGGTAGTATCGTAGGTAATGGTAGTAGGCAGTGGACCAACAGTGACTTCATCAACACCACCACCATCACCACCATTACTATCACCACCACCGCCACTGCCCACGACCACCATCACAGCCACAACTACCACCACCACCATCACTTACACCAAAACTCTTGATTTCAAACAATTAATAAATACGAGGGTGGATTGAAAAGTACTCGGCCTAACACAGATCCATTCAATTCTAAAAATCAAATCTACCCACATTATTTAGTTCAGTTCAGACTAGTTCATTGTGTGAAGTTCGAAACGTGTGCGATAATTAGTTGTGATTTTATAAATTTATTAACAAAGTAATCGGACATAATTTCCGCGAATGGAGCAAATCGAGCAGCGTGCCGTCATTAAGTACCTCCATAAGAAGGGGCTATCATCAAAAGCCATCCATGATGACATGGTCAGTACATTAGGCGATTGTGCTCTGTCATATTCATCCATCAAAAAATGGATAGCAGAATTTAAGCGTGGTAGAGAGAGTGTGAAAGATGAACCCCGCTCTGGAAGGCCTTCGACGTCAACTACTGACGAAAATATTAAAAAAGTACTTGATTTAATAATGGGAGACCGCAGATTAAAAATTAGAGAGATAGCCGAGATTATAGGCATCTCTTATGAACGAACTCAAAACATCATTGTCAACGAGTTGGGTTTCCACAAGGTGTCTGCGAGGTGGGTTCCGCGACTGCTTTCAGTTGAACAAAAAAGGACGCGATTGACTATTTCACGCGACTGTTTGGAGTTATTTGAAGCCGATGCAGATGATTTTTTGAATCGTTTTGTTACTATGGACGAAACATGGGTTCATTACTGTACACCGGAAACAAAACAACAATCAAAACAGTGGAGAAGACCTGATTCACCACCCCCTAAAAAGGCTAAGTCGATTTTGTCGGCAAATAAGGTGATGGCTTCAGTATTCTGGGACTCGAAAGGTGTGATTATGATTGATTATCTTGAAAAGGGTCAGAATATAAACTCTGATTACTACTGCACCTTACTACGTCGTTTACGAGAGGAAATAAAAGAAAAACGTCGAGGAATGCTCAGAAGAAAAGTCCTGTTTCATCAAGATAACGCCCGTGTTCACACGTCAGTACAGTCAATGGCTGAAATTCACAACTGTGGCTTTGAACTGTTACCGCATCCGCCGTATTCACCTGATCTGGCACCATCAGACTTCTTTCTGTTCCCTAACCTAAAAAAGCACTTGGGAGGTCAAAGATTTTCGACAAACGACGAGGTCAAAGCAGCTGTAGACGCATATTTTGACTCTAAGGAAGAATCATTTTTTTTTAACGGTCTAAATGCTTGGAAGGGGAGGTGGCAAAAGTGTATTGAACTTGATGGTGATTATGTAGAAAAATAAAAATATAACTGATTTAGTATTTGTTTATTTTCTTGGTTAGGCCGAGTACTTTTCAATCCACCCTCGTATGTTGTTACATTAATATAAGTTATAATTAATACACGTGATGTCTTATGCTATGCAATATTTTTATTTTTTCCTTAAAATTTTCACATGCATCAGGTGACAACCCTATCAGAATAGGTATAGATTTTCGACGTTGTTAGGAAGCTTCCCCTCTGGTCCTCTTTACTCTGTGCTCATACCCTATCATGCGCCCGCTGCCATATCCGCGAGTTAACGTGAACAAGCATCAAGCACTTAGTTCACCGTATTCGATTCAGTGCAACACAACTTATATACAATTATGAAATATAATAAAACAGTTTTTTTTTTTTGGATAAATTTATATTTATTCATACAAAAACCGGATAAGACTGAAATAAAGGTGACACAAACTTTTAAGTTCTTTCTTTTTGAAATACATTATTTTAGCAATGGAGCTTAAATATTTTGAAATTATTGGTTACAAAAACAGAGAACATATTATGTGATACTCTTAAGATAAGTCCATTAATGTATGTTTATAAGCTTATATTTAGAAAAAAAAACTTCCTTACGACATGTACTTTTTATTTACCTTACATAAATTAATAATAATGGAATTACATTACTTCTATATTCTATCTAATGACTCCAACATTATGATGCTGTTCCCTCGGATTACCTGAAATTATACAATTGAAACAAATTAATGAAGGTAATCTATGAATGAAACCTGTGGCAGCTCATATGCTAAACACCTTGGTCCCCCAACACCATTTCATTTAAACATTTGATTTATGTTGTATTACATAACGACCCTAACGACGACGCAACTCTATGGGGAGAAATGGGGTGATGAATTCTGTTACGCCACTAACATAAGGCAGATATATTAATAACATACTAGTTCACATTCATTACCATTACAGCGTATTACAAGTCCACTGCTGTACATAAGCCTCTTGCAAGGACTTCCACAAGTGTCTTCCCAGGTTGTTCCTACATCTGATGAGAGAAAAAAAAGGCGCCACACACTCCAGTGGTAGCATTGTAAACAAGCTTAAAAAAGATTGCTTACAATGCTAACACTTAAGAACCTTTCTTCGCCATCGGTTGTTGATTCTTTGCCTTATATTGCCTGTCCATTGCCACTTCAACTTACTGATGTAACGAGCTGTCGGTTACTTCGGTGATCATTTAGCTATATGAAACTTAACCCTTATTTCCATAGAATTTCTAAACAAAATTAAGAAGGCCAGTTATTAATCCCATAATTTATGTCAACTGTCTGTCTATGCGAGCTAATCTTCGTAATGGCTGAATGGATTGTGATGAAACTTCACAATCATATAGAGAGCAAGGCCAAGAGTAATCAAGGCTATATTGTAATTGCAAAATTGAAGGATTTAAAAATTGAAATATATGGGTTTTGGTTTTGGATGATTATCACATCAACTACAGGAAATATAAAAACTATACAGAAAAGAGAAAAAATATATATAAATGAGGCCATTAGTTTTAAACCAAAACTAATTTTAAATTTTTTTAAAACACATTTTATTTTTCTTTGAACACCATTGTGCAACATAAATATGAGTTAAAATTAAGATACCATTTATTGTGAAATTATGAGGTCTTCAATTATTTTTATTTTCAACATTTTTCTGTCGCACATAGTTTTCAAGATAATAGGAAAACCTTAGTTTAAAGTGATTTTTATTAAATAAAAACCTTAGCCTAAATACTAGTGGTCTTTTTACAAGTAGATCTACAAATTTTATTTTTGTTTAATTTCAATGCAGACAAAATTCTGGGTAAAAGTTAGTACTACATATAATTTAAATTCAAAATTTTAAAAACCCCTAAAATAAAAAGAGCTGATGATCTTCAAACGGCTAAACAGATTTTCTTGAATCATAGCTAAGAACACTCTCAATTAAGAAACCTTTCAAAGGAATGAAACTTAATCAAAATCTGATTTGCACTTAGGAGTCACGATGCCACAGACAGACACAGATACACATGTTAAACATATAGGTAACACCTTTTCAAACAAAAAAATTATTGATATACAATATTATGTGTTATACAATTAAGTATGAGTACATTTAGGAACAGCATGGCAGCATGGAATTAGCAGCATTAACATCATACACAAGTGTTATGTAATCATGTACTTATTAGTGGGTAAGATAAACTAACAATTTTTGCAAAATAAAATTTTAAAACTATTTAAAAAATAGGTCCTGCATATACATTGCCCCATGAAGGAATTACTGACTCTTTGGGAGTTGGGATCTCAATATAAATAGCAAGTGCTTGTTCTAGTATTTAAAGAATGTACAGTGGAATCCGTTTATAATGACATCGAAGGGAAGTAACAAACACGTCATACTAAGCGGACATCATATAAAGCATTTTGTAGAAAATGAACAATCTCCAGTTTTTGTTAGTATGTATTTACTTTAATAGAGAAAAATCTTTAGTTAAAGTAACTTAAATTCTTAATAATAAATTCTTGTTTTTAAAAATCATTGAGATTGTCAAGTGACCAACCCCAAATTCCCTTGCGAGATGTGAGTTGGATTCTCCATTTTGTAACCTGCACATGCACTGATGTTGAGATTTTATTTTTTTCACAAATCACTAACAAACAATGTAGTGCGTGTGTAAACCTTCAACAATAATTTTTTTTTTTATAGGATAGGGTGACAAACGAGCACACAATCCACCTGATGGTAAGTGGTTGCTGTGGCCCATAGACATCTACATCTATCCTGGTTTGCGAATCAAAATGCAGATGCTTTGTCACCCGTGAGGACTAAGATGTAATGCCTCTTTTCCAGTAAAAAGGGTCTCAGGTTCTCTACACTCACCATACGAAACACAGCAGTGTTAGCTGCTATGAAATCACCCTGGCTTCGCACAGGTGATTTCTGGATCTCGACAACAGCGCCACCTACCAGATACAATTGTGAATCTAAACCATTCTTGACGCTACTTAACCACACACAAAATTTTATCAAAATTGGTCTAGCCTTTTAGAAGTTCAGTCACATACACACAGATAGAAGAATTATAATATAATATATAATATGCATGAATTATACATATAATACTCCCTCTTGGATATTCTGTCTGTTGATGAAAACCACATCAAAATCCATTGCATAGTTAAAAAAACCTTAGCGAGCAGACTGCAGAAAGTGACTTTGTTTTACTTTATGTAGAGAAAGTTAAAATTTTACACACTAGGAATACAATTGAATTAAACTAAATTTATATAATAATATAAAGATACCCATCATCTGGAATCTCCGTGGATGAAGTGACCAGTTATTTCAGATCATCATCATCATTAGTTACTGCCTATCAAGTCCAGTGTTGAACATACATCTCTCCCATATATATTGTCACCTAATAAACTAAATTAGCCATTTGGCAGGTGTCTTCAGGTATTTTTTTATTATCAGTAAGACTGTTTCAGTTCACCTCTATCAACTCATTCAACACCGACATAATAATGTGGGGTAGTGTTTTGTTACACCAACACAACACAATGTATATATTGATTATATGCACACTGTGCAGTCGCAGTATCAGAATATCCACTACCCCATATCAAACAAGAGATAAGCACCACCAGGAGCAGCAGCAGCAACTTCCTGATAACTCAAAATAATAAAAAACTGCAGTTGCAAACCCACTTACTAAGTTTAGCAATTGTGCCAAATATCCTCTTCGTGAGGCAATTTGTGTGGAAGGCCATTGTTTAACTGTGGAATTTTGATGGGCTGTAATGATGATGAGGATTCTCTCATCAAATAATTTAAATAAAATAAAAATGTGTTGAATACTAACCACCATTCCAATGTTGTTTCTTTGTCCATCCTTGCATTCTTCAACGGACTCGTCTAAAACAAGATTCATAAACGGGTCGAATCCTCGTAGCACACCTGTCACGGCGCGTCCAGCATTTAGTTTTATGGACAGTTTCTTGTCCATGAACCTTGAAAATTATAGGTAACAGAGAATCAAAATTATTAAGTACAAAAAATAGACTAACACTGCTAATTAATGATGAGAAACGGGGTTTATTAATTATAATAAGTAAAAATAAATAAATAATGTAAGTTTATACAGAATAGGAAAACAGAATTAGGTTAGCTTGGCGTGCCCGAACTGCAAATTTTTATTCATGAAAAACATCACTGTTTACGTACTTTTTCAATTCTGGAGGATGCGCTTTCGACATTTTCAAACTAAGCTTCTAAGTTTTATAGAAATATTGCTATACTATATTATTTCAAATTTATCACACAAGCTATACCACAGCACGGACCCGCGAAAACCGGTAAAAAAGTCACTGTTTCCGTAATCCGTATATACATTATACACTCTTATCTATGGTCACACACAGCTTCATATAGCGTTCTTTTAGGGTGGCTACAGCCTTAACGTTTTGACACGTTGTGATGTATCACTTGTAGTTGTAAGCAAGTGCAACGAAAAACCAACTTATTTTATACCGCTGGGCCTCAATATTTTAGCTCTGCCGTTAAAGAGATGATTATTCCGCCACCTTTATGGGATTTCCCTTAATTACCTCTCACCACACCCAGGAGCCAAAATAGACTTTCGAACGTCGGATCGGTCTCCGGATTCTCTTACACTACGACTGTAGAATTATTTAATTATCTGAATAAAATTTCTTCATATTAATTGTATTCAATGCGGATTCTCACACATGAAAGTAGGGTAAAAGCAAAGTTATTTTATATTTTTACATATATGACGAAAGAAAATAATTATCAAAAAAACTGCCCGCTATAATTAGATAATAATCAACCATGTAACTTGTATATATTATATAATAACATAAGTTCTTTTCCATTTACTTCAAGCCATTTCTACACTGCACGTCAATATCATCATCATCATCATCATTACAGCCCTTCACAAGTCCACTGCTGAACATAGGCCTCCCCCAAAGAATGCCACAAAGCACGGTCCTGAGCCACCTGCATCCATCGACTTCCTGCATGTGTTGCCAGGTCGTCACTCCATCTCGTGGGGGGACGCCCTACACTTCGCCTACCGGTACGAGGCTGCCACTCGAGAACCTTTCTTCCCCATCGGTTGTCGGTTCTTCGAGCTATATGGCCGGCCCACTGCCACTTCAGCTTACTAATCCGTTGGGCTATGTCGGTTACTCTAGTTCTACTGCGGATATCCTCATTCCTAAGTTTATCACGCAGAGAAACTCCGAGCATAGCCCTCTCCATAGCTCGCTGAGCGACCTTGAGCTTCCTCATACGGCCAGCAGTGAAGGACCACGTCTCAGTTCCATAAGTCATCACTGGCAACACGCACTGGTTGTACAATTTCGTTTTCAGGTTTTGAGGTATGTCTGACGAGAAGATGTGTCGTAGCTTCCCGAACGCTGCCCAGCCGAGTTGAATCCGTCGATTGACGTCACTAATGCACGTCAATAATGCTAACCAAAATATTTTTTGCGAACGAAATGTTTGTAAATATATTTATTTCATACTGATAAAAAAAAATGTCACTCGGGACTAAAATAAGCTATTTATTAGTGGAAGAATCATCAGAATAGGATCAGCACTTCCTGAATGTTGTTAGATAATTTCATAGATTTTATTTATTTATTCTTTATTGCATTTCTTAAAACAAAAGAATACAAAGAACGGCCTTAATGCGTTGATGCATTCTCTACCAGTCAGTCAAGTATAGATATAATATATAGAAGAATTTAAGCCCTCTTTTGACTGAAATAAGGAATATCACAACTTCAATGTAACAAGTGGAAAATCGTTTAAATAGTCACATTAAAATTTTTATCCGTATATGAACTAATACATTTACTATGACTTATTTATATGTTTTTAAATTTGTGTTTAATATCGTAAAACAGATCAATATCAGTGTACAAATATTTATTGAAGTGCCAAAAATCCGAAGGAACCCAGCGTTTTACGAAGCTTTGACTATTTGAATTATATTGTAACATGCGGGGTGAGTAAATATGCCGATCAGGATAAGAAATGAATATATTCTTCAACACACACAGCAAACATAGAATTACGTCTCTTAAAATCGCTAAGCTTCTTCATTGAGGTCCATAATAATCGAAAATGTCGTAGGTCGGTTGCTCGTAGTCACTAACCAGAGTAAAGTTCATTTTCGTGTTCAAAGCGAAATGAGCTATTATATCTTAGTCCTCAGGGGCAACAATGCATCTGCATTTTGATTCTTAATATCTATATGTAATAAGCAATTGCTGTAGTTAGTCTTGCTAAAACTCAAAAACGGCTTGATTTTGATGAAATTTTTGTGTTTGTTTGAATGAATCTCTAGATAGTTTATATTTACATTTGGACCCAGTAGGAGGAGCTGTTGTCAAGTTCCAGAAATCACCCATGCGAAACCAGGGCAGATCACTAGTGGAGGATAAATTTAGATGTCTATGGATCACAGCATGCATTCAATATTAGGCGGACCGTATGTTCGTTTGTCACCTTATTCAAAAAAAAAAACTAAGACCCTAGATACTCGATTCTTTAAGAACATACGGCTAAAAGGTTGATATTACTTGTCACTGCCAGTTATTATCAACATCTGTACATCGTAGTAGGTTAATTTTTTAATTCTAGCGACCCAATCGATCCAGTATTGATTTGGTTGTTTTACGAACCGCGGTAACTTTGTCGATTGTATTTAAAATTCATTTTGGGGGAGCGTACGGTAACTTGTTCAAATACATGCTTGCTTTACTTTAACTTTTTTATATATTACATTACAGTGTTTAGACTTATATTTCGGGGTCATATTTGTAGCATCATGATGTTTATCGAAGCTTGAGCCTACATGAGTAAAAATGACATTGAAGTCATTTTTTGAAGTCGATTACAACTCCCACTAACTATGAGGAGTATTGTTAGTTCTAAGAACTAACAGGTTAAAACTGGCGTATTTCTGGGTGCGTGGCGAGTATTGTGTTACATCTTTTTCTTATCAATTCTTACTAACGGCACGCGCCCAAACGGGATATGTGTGATTGGCTTAATGCTGAAATTAAATTTACTCTATGGTCTATGGCTATAAAACGCTCCTTTGTAAATAAATAGAAACAATTGGTTTAATTTTTACAATACACGTGTTATTAATGAACTGCATAATACGAATGTTGATTTAATAGATAAAAAAAACTTTTAACTTGTGTTAGGACTATTTATGAATATTATGGTATTACGTTTTGGACCGTATGTTTAATCCAGGGCTTTTGGGTTGCCACTTGTCATTGTTGTCTGATTATTCCACTTCACAAATAAATATATTAATTATAAAAAGATAATATCTACGTTAAATACTCATCATTATTTTAAGATTATTTACAGTAAATCTAAAATAGGATTGAAGCTTATTTCCTAAAACTTAGGAGAAAAAAAATATTTTAAGAGAATTCGCATAGTTACCATTGCAAAAATCTTTCATTACGCAACAATGTTGAATAGTCTTTTATTGCCACCGGTGCTTTGTATGAAAGGTATCTACTTATTTTTGTAGAATAATCTCATTTTATCATAGTAAAGGTATTAGTTATGTCTATGCTATGCTAGCAATCAGCAATAGCAACAAGTAGACAGCTGTGAGAATGGATGCTGTTGCTGATAGGATAATCATCCCGTTCTCATGTAAACAGCCACGTTTTGTTTTCTTAATATTATGTCTTTGAACATTATAAGTAACTAATAACAGTATCAGTGGAAAAGTGTGTTTGTGTATTTTATTAAAAATGGATGAATCCGGTATTGATATGGGATTTGATCTCGCCTCTTTCTTGACAAATGATAATCATGTTGACCATATCTTGGATGAGATGACAGCAGCTCAGCATCAGGACTTCATGTACTACGAACTAAAATCGAAGGCAGTGCCAGTGACAGAAAGGTAAGTGCTGTGCTGCACGTGATTTCATGAATGAAATTCAACATAATAGTTAGTGAATATTTTTAGCACATTTTAGGTATGAGGAACAATTTTACCGAAGTCAAATCGCGACCCTGAAAACTTGGCTTGGCAAAGCCCCTAAATTTGCTTTTTATGTCCATTCTTTACCACAAATATTTCGCGAACATTATTATTTTTTACCTAATCTTTTAAGATTGCTGTTGTTTTTATTTTTCTACATTTTGTTTGCAAACATAGATTCTATTAAATGTAGAATATTTATGATTCTATTTTAAGTATTTTAAAAACTATTGCTTTTTATAATTATTTAAAAAAAACCTTGTAAATTTTCCCGCCTAATTTTTTGTTTTGGTATCATGGACTTATAAAACCATGATTGGTTGGTTGACTCATGGGAAAGAGAGCTAATAAATATCAAGTTTGTTTGATACGTTGATCATATCAACTTTTAAAACAGTGAATGCTTTCTAAATTGACCCCATTGTCAATTTCAAGCAAGTCGAATGCAGTAAAGATTCGTTGTGTTATGATAGTTGTCAGGCCAACAAAGTAAGATAGACTAAGCCCCGCGTAAAAAATTTAAGTGCGTAAACGTAAAAACATTTCGTACATTTCAAGTGATGCCGAAACCATGCTTAACTTTTTGTCGCCCACTCAAACACACGTCTTTTTTCTTTCTTTTCGTAAAATTTCACTACTGGACGCACACATGCAAATGCAACTAAAACCATGTTGGTTGCAAATAATTTAGATGCTTAGGTGTACCTACGTAGTGAGTGATCTTAGTTCTTACAATTAGGTTGAGCATAGTTTTGGCTTGGATTTTGCGGCACTTGGAATGTATACGTAGCGCCACAGAGTAAAGAGTAAGGACCAGAGGGGAAGCTTCTTAACAACGTCGAAAATGTATACCTATTCTGATAGGGTTGTCACATGATGCATGTGAAAAATTTAAGGAAAAAATGATGGTGGTGTTGATGGAGCTACTGTTGGTCCACTGCTTACTACCACTACCTACGATACTACCACCTCCACCACTACTGACACCATCAGCAACACTATCCACAAACACCAGCACAACTTCCACCAACACCAATCCCACCACCCCCACCAATGTATGGCGATTGTATTCCAACCATAATGCAGTGGTATTTACTCCTGGGATCGCGACTCGCAAAAAAGTAGCTTATATCCTTCCTCAGGACGCAACCTACCTCTGTACTAAAGTGGGTGGATAAAGTTACACATTTAGCCTTATTATGTAGGTTATCCTGTCATCTACGGCACTGTCAAGGTTAGGCTGACTAACGTTTCAAGTAGATGAGACCGACTTCATCATTAGGCGACGTACCTATCTAACTATCTAACACATTTTCACTTACCTATCTATGTTATTACCTAGTTTTATTGTATATAATACGTAAAAAGTTACTTACTTCACTTGATCTCTCGGGTACAAAAAAAAAGGAAATATCCTTATTTTCTCTATAATTATACATGCATACTGTACAACTATTAGGCATTTTTGCTTATACAAAACACTTATTATTTACTTATATAAATTAATAATAACTTAATTCTTAATTATTTTAATTAAAATACTAAAATGTAATTATTTAATAAATGCAAAAAAAACTTCGTAAATTAATTGATGTATAAAATATCGAAATATTGTTGGTCTATTTATTTAAATACGCACGACAGTACGTTAGTACTATTATTTATTCTGTGACGACAGCCCTTTCATGTATACTCCGACTGAGCGGACGCAAACCGGTTTGTACCCCGACGGAGCGTCGGTGAACCTGTCGGTGAGAGCTCACGCATACATCGCTGCGCTATGTTTGGGTGTAATCGCAGCGAGTCCTTTGTATGTAGCTTCCACTCTGGTCGGTTTCTTTACTCATGTGGTAGCGCTGTCTCTCTTTGTTGATTGGTTATCTTACGTTACTTGTTTTTATAAAATACTAGCTAGCCAGGCAGACGTTGCTCTGCTCTTTTCGACGACACTTTCTCCTATAAAAAATACCCTAAAATCCGTAATTAAAAATATTTAGGGTCCAGTTATCGAAGTAAAAACTATCCTATCTCTCAAGTTGGACCAAACAGCACACAGTGTGTAAAGTTTCATTGAAATTTCTTCAGTAGTTTAGTAGTTCATCGCGGACAAACAATGTGACACGTAATTTTTATATATAAAGATATACTTAAGGGCGATTGAATTCACGAATAAGCAAATGCATTGAATGAGATATTATGTAACTATACAATCTATATTATACATTATATTCAATGAGCGAATGTATACCTATTTCGAGGATGCACATATGCAGTAATACGTGAGTTGGTGTTAATATAAAACATCGTGACGGAAACTGCATGTCTGAGAAATTAAAAAAAAATATTGAGGGATACATGAAGTCTGTCAAAACGGCATTACGGCAACGTGGCGGACTCTTACTTTCCCCAAAAATCTTTTCAGTAATGAAAGGCAGTCCAGCTGTGGAATGTACATTGTCTGACACTTTACTAAACACCAAGAACCAGTCAGTTTTAATATCCAAATACTTTATATTATTCGTTTCAAAGTCGACACGTAAAGTCGCGGGCTAAGATGAAAGAGATTTCAGCTGTCGATGTTTTTTATGAACATTTGCTTTTTTGTTTTTATAACATCATTATTGATGAAACAAACATCTGAATAATTTTTCTTGTATAACAATGCGATTAGGTTAAACAGGTTTCTTGTTACGTAAGTTATGTGGTTGAATGACGGTGCAATATTGTAGTTGTAACATGAATGGATAAGCTAATGGTGCAGTATACTTAAAAAGCTAGAGCATCAGTTAGTGCATTGCACTATTGACAGGTACACTACGTTATTATAATTCCTCTGCCGAAGTCTATCTCAAAGTCATCTTCACCTGCGCAACGACGCCCCCGTGTCCGATGAGCGAAGGCCAGGAATAACAAGCACTCAGAAGCACTAGCCTTCCTGACCACAGCGACGGATCTGGTCTATGGCTCCAACGCCAATCAAGATTCGGCTGTGGAAGGCAGTGAGAGTGGCGCCTTGCAATACCGTCACTCCTCTCCCCCTGCAGCTCGCACCACCACATCAACGCTTTCGCAATCGCTTTTGATATATTATTGCATAAAATGAAGATTCCCGCTAGGAAATAATAACTTAACTACTACTAATAACTAAACTTGAATGTCGTAAATAGCTATAGGAAGTTTTTATTCCCACGTTTTCACCCCATATTTTTCACCCTTTGAGGTACCTATTTAATAAATAACTAAAATAACAAAAAATCAAAACCCTCGAAACAAAGGAGGTGATGATCTTCAAACGGCTGAACAAATTTTCTTGAAACAGCTAAGAATACTCGATTAAGACACCTTTCAAACATTTAAAAAAAACTTCGTTCAGAAGCTATGGTGCCACAGACAGACCCACACATACACAGATACACATGTACACAATACAAACATACAACACCCCTCTGTTTTCGTCGGCGGTCAAAAATAATTATTTAAGATGGCTTAAGACACGTTTCAAACAAAAAAAACTTCGTTCAAGAGCTATGATGCCACAGACAGACCCACACATACACAGATACACATATATACATAATACAAACATATAACACCCCTCTGATTTCGTCGGGGGTTAAAAATAATTATTTAAGATGGCTTAAGACACGTTTCACACAAAAAAAAACTTCATTCAGGAGCTATGATGTCACAGACAGACCCACACATACACAGATACACATATACACAATACACAAACATATAACACCCCTCTGTTTTCGTCGGGGGTTAAAAATAATTATTTAAGATGGCTTAGACGTTTACGTTTAACGGTTAACACGTCGTTGTTGGGAGCACTAAGCTCGAAGTTATTGACGAGTATGTTTACCTGGGACAAATAGTCCGACTAGATAAGTCCAACTTCGACCGAGAGCTCAATCGACGGATTTCACTCGGCTGGGCAGCGTTCGGGAAACTACGACACATCTTCTCTTCAAGTATACCTCAAAACTTGAAAACGAGATTGTACAACTAGTGCGTGTTGCCAGTGATGACTTATGGATCTGAGACGTGGTCCTTCATTGCTGGCCGTATGAGGAAACTCAAGGTCTCTCAGCGAGCTGTGGAGAGCATAGCTCCGGGTTTCTCTGCGTAATAAACTTAGAAATAAGGATATCCCCAGTAGAACCGGAGTGACGGACACAGCCCAACAGTTTGGTAAGCTGAAGTGGCAATGGGCCGGCCATGTCGCTCGAAGAAACGACAACCGATGGGGAAAAAATGTTCTCGAGTGGCGGCTTCGTACCGGAGGAAGAAGTGTAGGGCGACTCCCCACTAGATGGAGTGACGACCTGGTAAGACATGCGGGAAGTCGATGGATGCAGGTGGCTCAGGTCCGTGCTTTGTGACATTCCTTGGGGGAGGCCCATGTTCAGCAGTGGATTTCTGAGGGGCTGTAATGATGATGATGATGAGACGTTTACGTATACGAAAAATCAGTGACATCCTTAAAAATAACTGCGGTTTGAATATACCTCATCCTTTTTTGAAATCGATTAATATCAAAGTGCACTCCAACAGCTCTAAACAAGCCTCTTAACATGGTGTTGTTCATCCTGCATCTACGATGGTTTGGTTTGGGGTTTTATACCAAGGAATCACGAAGCTTAATTTTTAAGAAAAAGTGGTAAAGTCTACGCCGAAAAACTGTTTTGGATGTGTTTATATATCTTTAGATATAACGGTGTTTAAAATTCAACATTGAGAATGGATAGTGCGTTAATGGATAGTTTTATCTCCAGTGGGTTGAAAGACAGGTCTTTCAAAACCAAAACCAAAGGACTTTAAATCAAATTGTTTTAATTAATTGTTTAGAAGTCAAGAAATATGTTTCTATAAATAGGTTTATTAGGTCGATCTGGTGGACTGATGTTCGCTTTTTAATGTTCTCTTAAAATATCCCCGTATTTAAAACCAAAACAATTTAAAATTAAAAAATTTGTACAACCGACTCCAATATAAACAAAAAGACCTTGATCAAATTTATATGGGGCCACGTGTGAAGCACCAGCTTTCAAATAAAAACAGAATCATTGAAATCGGTTCACCCAGAAAAAGTTATGAGGTTCTATATTATATTAACACACCTAAAAAAAAGAAAAAAAGAACATACAGTCGAATTGACTACCGTCTCTTTTTGAAGTCGGTAAAAAATTGTCTTGCGAGTTGCGATTCAGTGCAGTTGTGCGTATTGTATACCGTGTACAGTATGCGCTAGTTTTTTTTTAATCTACAAAAAATTTTTGTGCCTAAACAATTACCAGTTTGCCTTGTTTAAACATTCGCCTCGTGTGTTTACCTGCAGTTTTGGCATGACGTCATTTTCATTAGCCGGTAAGGTACCTATACAGATCGCGTTAGAGTTGATAGAAGTTTGGACTTGTAACGTACTGAAAGAGGATGGTGATGATGAAGAAGAGTATGGAGTTTGCAATGTGTATCGTTGACTTGCTAATAACTTACCTGGCAGAGCCATGCTGCAGCTATATTATGGTTGTAGTACGAATGGGCCGGTACCAGCATATAAAATAGCAGCTTAATGCTGCTGTGTTTAGTATGACGGGGAAAACCGGAGGCCCTTTTTACTGTTTAGATTCCATCTTAGTCGTCAGGGGTGACAGTGCATCTACATTTTTATTTTTAATGGAAGGTAGATTTGGATGTCTGTGGGCCGCAGTATCCATTTATGCCAGGGTGGACTGTGTGCTCGTTTATCACGCTTATTTTATAAAAAAATATAAAGGAATAATATAATATAACCTCTATATTTATTTATTTAATCAAAAAATTGTGCTTACAGAATATCCAATACGCATATAAGGTTAAATTTTACATGCAAAAATTTTAAAAGATTGCATTAATTCATAACAACAAAAAGTAATAATTATAATTAATAAATTATAATAAATAGGTATTATTGGTCTCCGTTTAGCTACACTCACCATACGCCATAATATTAAACATGTTATATAGGTAACGTTTACAGAAATAAAAAAAGAATCATTAAAATCGGTTCACAATCTGTGAAGATATCGCGTAAAACTTACTCGTACATACAAAAAATAAATAAAAACAAAACTGCACTCGAATTGAGAACCTCCTCCTTTTTGAAGTCGGTTAAAAAAGTTATTGTATGGTTGTTTATAATTATACTGCTATTAATGATCTTTTAACCCCGAATACGTTGTGATATTTTTTCTCATTGCAAGTAAACATAGTTGTTGACATTTATTTACCTTGTTAATTGATAAATCAGTATCATGAACGGTAATGGACGCGTTATCGCGACCAGTCGAGTAATTAATTATGTTATACATCGCGATATAATATTATAGATGATGGACTATCGTTCTAAATGTCATACTCATACCCACGTGCAAGTTGCACGGTGCAATCTCAGTTCGTTTTGTTTTTAGAATAAAGATGACAAACGAGCACACAGTCCACCTGATGGTAAGTGGTTGCTGTGACCCATAGACATCTACATCTATCTTCGTTTGCGAATTAAAATGCAGATGCGTTGTCACCCGTGAGGACTAAGATGGAATGCCTCTTTTCCAGTAAAAAGGGTCGCCGGTTCTCTACACTCACCATACGAAACACAGCAGTTTAATCTGCTATTTTACGCTGGTATTCTGTGAGAGTGTGGTCCTTCCCCGGTCGAGCCTACCTATTCATGCTACAACTATACTACTAATATAGCTGCAGCATGGCTCTACCACGTAAAAAATGTAATTTCAATCCCTGCTGGCGCTTTCAGTCTGTATATAAACTGATACATATAAACATATAAACTGATATGTGGTATTCACGTTGTGGTTGCCGAGCGAATGGATACTAGACCGGTAACGGAGCACGCTCTTACAGGATACCAGCATGAAATACCAGCATAATGCTGCCGTGTCTTGTATGGTAAGTGTCTAGAGCGGACACCCATTTTACTAGTAATGAGGCATTTCAACTTCGCCCTCAGGGTTGACAACGCATTTTGATCCTTAAATTATAATAGATGTAGATGTCTATGTATGTTAACAAGTATACTGGGCCTGAAAATACTACATTCAGGAGTGCCTATAATATAATAAAATCAATCTTAAAATTGCATACTCATAATAAAAAGGTTATTATTCATTGGTTGCCATCTCATATACAGATAACAGGAAATGAGGTCGTTGACCTGTTAGCAAAACAGGCAGTTGTGGACGGGATACCGTTAATGGTGTTACCCCTTTTTTCTGACCACATTAACATATAAAAGATCAGTGCAGAGCGTTATGGCAAGAACATTTTGACGAAAGATCACGCGAGAAGGATATCTGGTATCGAACAATTCAGCCACAAATAACGTGTAATTCGTGGATAGATAGTCCACTAAATAGAAACTACATAAGGTTCTTAGATTACGTTCGGGACATATTCCAACGAATAAGTTTGCTTTTTTAATGAAAAAAGTGCCATCACCAAATTGCCGACGTATGCGGAATAGTTGAAGATGTTCAACATATTTTGATGGAATGTTTCCGGAATGAAGCAATTAGAAGGTTATGTTTTGGTAGTGATACGAATTTTCAGGTTGGCTAAAATGCTGGCCAAGCTAGCAGACTTGATTCTGTGTAGGGAATAGATGGGGCTGTTTATGATTCTACTTCTTCCTTAGATATGTTTACTTATAGTCGCGCGTGCTCCTTGCACATAACTATTGTTAATATAATAGATTTTATGTTTAATTTTGTATTCAATTGTAGAGATTAAGTAATTGTAGACAAAACGGGACGATGTGGTCGCTCAGCGACAAAGTCCTTTATAATAATAAATTAAAAAAAAAGTTTAAAATCATTTGATTTATCACCGGTTAACGTATGGTTTCCAAGCCAAACCACAGCCTAAGTCCACTGCTGAACATAGGCCTCACTCATAGACTGGCTCATAGAGGGGATATTTGCTATAGTTACCACGATTTTCAAGCGAGGACGCTGGTGCCCATCTCCAGTGTAGTGGATATTCTTACACCGCCATTACACGGTAAATGTAGTGTTTTATCTCAACGTTTATAAATAGAGCTAAAATTTCGGATAATCTATTTGCGTCGTAACTCGGTAATGTAATAAGTAAAAACTATTGAGTTTGGTCCGCATCCAAATGCTATTTGTCGGTCTAAATGTTATGTGTATGTGTAACCTGTGTTGATTGCAACGTTGTAGTAGTCAGAAACGCGATAGCTACAGAATTTTATTATTGTCATTTGTTATCAGGAAGATGGTGCTGTTCATCTTTTTTTTTATAGAATAAGGATGACAAACGAGCATACAGTCCACCTGATGGTAACTGATGGACCATAGACATCCATCCTCCTCAATTAGGCATTATAATGCAGATGCATAGTGACCTCCGAGGATTAAGATGGAATGCCTCGTTTCTAGTAAAAAGGATTTCCGGTACGCTACACCCGTCATACGAAACCAGCAGTATTAAGCTGATATTTTAGACTGGTATTCTGTAAGAGCGTGGTTCTACCTCGGTCGAGCCGATCCATTCGTGCTACAACCATAATATAGCTGCAGCGGGGATCTACCATGTAGTCTCTTCCATGTGTGGCCTCTTACAACATCCACGGGACGATATGCGGTAGTGAGTAGTGTATATTCTTACACCGCCACGACACAGCAGTCCGACGTACAGATTTTTTTTTATAGGATAAGGTGACAAACGATCACACAGTCCACCTGATGGTAAGTTGTTGCTGTGATCCATAGACATCTACATCTATCCTCAATAAAGAATCAAAATGCAGATGCGTTGTCACCCGTGAGTACCTACTAAGATGGAATGCCTCTTTTCCAATAAAAAGGCTCTCCGGTTCTCTACACTCACCATACGAAACACAGCAGTGTTAAGCTGCTATTTTACGCTGGTATTCTGTGAGAGCGTGGTCCTTTCCCACTCGAGCCGACCCTTTCGTGCTACAACTGTACTACTAATATAGCTGCAGAATGGCTCTACCACGTATAAGACACAGATCTGCTTTTTCAAAGTTTAATGCTACTGTAATCTTCGACTGTTTCGTTAGGTTTGTGGTCGTAAGCGCGATTGCTAACCATCAGGTCCCGAGTTCGAATCCCGGATCTAACCAAAGTCAGTTATTGGGTTATTCTGTGTAGAAATTCTCACTAGCAGCCCGGAGTCAGGAAGTTTCGGTTTCACTTTGGAAAGCGCGTAATGCCGTGGGTCCTACGCCTGATTTCTCGGTCGTAGCGCTTCACCGTCCCATCGGACTGTGAGAAGAAGGGAGTAGGTATATATATATCTTCGAAATATACCGGTACTATATAAAAAATGTAAAACCAGGACTTCAAGTCTTTGATGCACTATGTTTCAGCGCCGACTTCAAAAGTTTTTCAATTATGACGAAAGTATTTTATTTCTCTCCGTTTTATGATGTTGGTTTTTACTTTTTACATTTTAATTATTAGATCCTTGAGGTGAACTGAACAATACCTCAAGTAACGACTAGAATGTCGTCTATTCACCGTGTTATTCACTCTTATGGGCGGAATTTATCTTCAAATTTCATGGATCTTTTATACGTGGTAGGGCCATGCGGTAGCTAAATTATAGTTGTAGCACGAGTGGGTCGGTTCGACCGGGAAAATACCATGCTCTCACAGAATACCAGCTCACAGGATACGAGGTATTCTATCTTAGTCGACGCATCTGCATTTCTTAATCGAGTATACATGTAGATGTCTGTGTACATATAAAACCATATATACTAGTACGAGACACAGCAGTATTAAACTGTTATTTCATACTGGTATTCTGTAAGAGCGTGGTCGTTTCCCGGTTGAGCCGAACCATTCGTGCTACAACCTTCATATTATATTTTTTTTTATTGGATAGGGTGACAAACGAGCACACAGTCCACCTGATGGTAAGTGACCACTGCGACCCATAGACATCTACATCTATTCTCAATAAAGACTCAAGATGCAGATGCGTTGTCACCCGTGAGGACTAAGATGGAATGCCTCTTTGCCAGTAAAAAGGGGCTCCGGTTCTCTGCACTCACCATACGAAACACAGCAGCGTTAAGCTGCTATTTTACGCTGGTTTTCTGTGAGAGCGTGGTCCTTCCCCGGTCGAACCGACCCATTCGTGCTACAACTATACCACTAATATAGCTGCAGCATGGCTCTACCGCGTATAAGCCACGTATAGCTGCGACATGACTGCACCACGTACGTTAATTAAACCAGGCGGACAAAACGCAATGATAAGGGTTCCCTTACATAACAACGTAATCCTAAAACACACAACACAGCATACAGTGATCTCAGACTCAGACACACTAAAAACAATCGAAAACAAGATATTTTTAAAATGAAACTCGCGAATATGAGAGATGTTCCTAACTTCTCTTTACTCGTAATTATTTAAATAGTATCTTCAT